AATCCTTTATTGAGCTCTGGTCTTTTTACCAGGAAGGTCTGGAAGTCCCCCATTTCATTGAACACCCATCTCCTCCCTTGAAAAATCATGCTCATTTTTGAAGGGTAGTTGATCCTTGGCTGCAATCCAAGCTCCCTTGCCCTACAGCATATCATGTTTCACGACCTGAGGTCTTTTAATGTAGAAGCTGCAAGGTCCCTTGCAATCCTGACTGTGGTTCCATGATATTTAAATTGTTTCTTTCTGGCTGCTTGGAGCACCTTCTCTTTCATCTGGTAATTTTGGAATTTTGCTATTATATTCCTTGGCATTGTCAATTTGGGATCTCCTTCAGGTGGTAGGGGTGTATTCTTTCTATGGTTATTTCATCCTCAGGTTCTATGACCTCGGAGCAGCTCTCCTTCATGACCTCCCAAAAGACACTGTCCAGGCTCTTTTCTTCATCATGACCTTCAGGTAGTCCAATAATTTTTAAATTGTCTCTCCTGGATCAATTTTCCAGGTCAGTTGTTTTACCAATGAGGCATTTTACGTTTTCACCTATTTTTTCATTTTTTTGTTTGACTGATTCTCACTCTCATAGAGTCATTAGTTTCCATTTGTCCAATTCTAGTTGTTAGTTTCTGTTAGTTTTTATACTTCCATCTCCAATTAGCCAATTGAATTTTTAAGGGATTTGGTTTTCTTCAGTGCACTTTTTTTCCAATTGGCCAACTGCATTTTCTAAGGACTCTTCTACCTCTCTCATCAGACTTTTAAAATCCTTCTTGAGCTCCTCCAAGAAGGCTCCCTGGGCTTCAGACCAGTTCATACTCCCCTTTGATGTTGCAGATGTGGGTCTGTTGACAATGCTGTCCTCTTCAGAATCTCTATCCTGATCTTCACTCTTCTCATAATATGAATCTATGGCACATGTTTTTTTTTTTACTCACAGCTTCTTTATTCCCTGGCCTTTAAAGAGATTGAACTCTCCTGCCAGGGAACAGAGGGCACTGACCCAAGCTTCTTGTGTTGGGAGCCTGGGTTTTAGTCACTGGCTTTGTGTGCTGTGGCCTCTTATGTTGACAATTGAAGGCTGTAGGTTTCTGGCAGCTTACCTTGTGTTGGGCTAGAATCAGCAAGGCTGGAATTTTCAGGCATTTCTAGGTTGTTTGCTTTTCCTTTCCTTTAACTTTCTTCAGCTCCTTTTAGATGGATGCGGCAGGGTGTTTATCTGCCTGGGGCCCCCTGCAGTGCTGCCTCCCTCATTTCTGTTAATGCACTGGGAGATTCCTTTGCAGTAGAGTGCTGAGGCACCTGGTGGTTTTCTGAGCTGGTTTCCACCAGCCTTCCCACCCCCTCCCCACCCCCCCACCCCGCCCCCACTAAGACACTGAGGTCCAGGTATTGGTGTTTGCCTGCTCTACCACCTGGGCTTCAGGATCTCTTCCTGGTTGACAGTTGGAGGCTGTAGGGTTATGATAGCTTATCTGGTATTGGGTTGGAATCAGCAAGGCTGGGACTTTAGGAAGACTCTAGGTTGCTTTCTTCAACAACATTTAACCCCTGGGCACCACAAGCAACTCTCTAAAACCAGAAGTCACACAGAAAGTGTTGACCTGCATTGGGAGAGGGTGTTTCATTCATCTGAGAATTCTTTATGTCAATGAAGTCACAGTTTCAGTCTCTATCCCAGTCACTTTCCACTAACTTAACCCACATCCCAAATCAAAGGCCCTGCTTAAAAAGGTAAGTATAATAAAGCAAGACAAATCAAGATACTGACCATGTCTGAAAACATGTCTCATTCTAAACCTTTGTTCCATCAGCTCTCTGCCAAGAGGTAGGAATAAGGCTTCATTATCAAGCTTCTGAAGTCAGGATTTTCCTAGTTTCTTTCCAGGTGGTCATATATTTAAAGCTCCTGCCTGTACTTCATGGGCAATTTAAGGAAGGAAAAAGGGTAATTTTGACTCTATATGATTTTTGACATGCTGATTTCCATAGCTAACTTCCACACAGAAACTAACTTCCATATAACCTGGTACATAAGAACTTAATAAATTCTTGTCTTACCTTCTAGCTAGATTTTCTTTTAGATTTATTATTTTCCCTGATTTTTCTCATCACCCAGTAATTTGTTTCTAGCTCTACTTCTCACTCTGTCTCCTCTTCCTGAAAAATCAAGAGCCTAGGCTTGCTGTCTGTCATTGGGTTTCAAGACACCTTGAAAAGCCTGTGGGTAGACTAGGTATAGCTGTCCTGATGAAACAATGGATAAACACACTGCCATGGAGAAGAACGCTCTCTCTAGGAAGGACAATGGTAGTTTCGATGCCACTTGCAGTACTTGTTCCTAGAATACCCTAGTCATAAGTCAGTCATTTTGGCCCATTAAATGTGCCTTTATCAATCTCCTACCTTTGGGCCTCCCCCTCCCAACTCTACTAATCCCATCTGTCTTTGACTTTTAGACCACCCTCAATTTATCTTTTTTCATCTTAACCAAACTGTAAGACCATAAATTGGATAGCAATACACTACCTGATCTAAGAATACAGCTGTTGGACCTGCTTGTGCATTCATGTTACATTTGTTCCTTTGTGGCCATAAGTCAACAAAAATTGCCTTAGTTATGTCAGAAAAACACAGTACTGGTTAGAAAAACAGCATTCTGCACCACCTTGATGTCAATTTCCTTTCCCTAGTCAATTCTTAGAGGATAGCTGGCTTCCTACTCTGTCCCCCATGCATGGAAACCTCTAGGGCTTTATAATCCGGTATCACCTTGGTGCCATCTTCTGTCCCCCACATCAAATGCATTTCCTTTCCTTCTGATAGCTGCGCAGATTTAGGCTTTCATCTCTTGTGAGCTATGGCATGTTCATATTGAGTCACTTCCAGGGAAGAACCATTCAGATACCCAGATAGTTTGATACCAAAGATCAATCCTGTAATGGCTTGCCCTGACTTTGTCTTGAATGGTATGTGTGCTAGGGAGTAAAACACTTAGTTGCAGCTCCAAGTATTTCACTTTCTCATTGTTATTTCATGAGGCTTTTATCTTGGGTGCTCTTTCTGTTTTAACTTGCAAATTTAACTCTAATTACTGTAGATCTGACACATGCTTTTAAAATTGTGATGAAGTAGCTGATTATGGAAATCAAACACTTCACCTTGTGGATCGTACAACTATAAGCTTGAGGGAAGGATTATGGGCCTTGATCTCTACAAGTTTTAGGGGACATGGAGTTATTGTTCAAGTGGCCTTTTTCTACTGGATCCCAGAGGAGCATATAGCAGATCTCTGACCTCAGGAATAGTAGTGGCAAGGTCATAATCCCTCTTTGCCACATTCCATTTATCTTAGTTGTAGGTTAGGAAGATTATTCTGCCAATGCATACAGAAAACATGTATGATGAACAATGGAGGGACCTCTGTGTCTTCCTTGTGCCTCACTTAATACAAGAAGCCTACTGACACAGCACTTAAATTTTACTTAAATTTTCAGTTCCAAATTCTCTCCCATTCCCCAGACCAGAGAAGGCAAATAATATGATATCTATTATACAAATGGTCATGTAAAATACATTTCTGCTTTAATCATATTCCAGGTGGAAAAAAGCAAGAAAAATAAAGGAAAGAAAAAATATGCCTGTTAATCTGCACTCTGAATCAATCAGTTCTCTATCTGTAGGAGAAGAACATTTTTCATCATGAGTCTTTTGGAGTTGTGGTGGACCACTGTATTGATCAGAGTGGCTACTCAGTTATCTTTACAATATTGTTGTTTCTGAATATATTGTCTTTCTAGTGAGTTCATCCATTCACGTGCAGTTAGGATTGCTAACTATGTACTGCACTCCATTCTATTCTCTTCTATTTCTCTGTCTTTTCTTTACCCTTCCCCTCTTTAAGAGTCTGTTTTGAATCTACCCTCCTTCTTTTCATACCCCCTCTCATTTTCTTAGCCCCTTCCCAACCTACTTCTTTCTTGGGCAAGATGAATTCCTATATCTAAATTGTGCATGCATGTGTGTGTGTGTGTGTGTGTGTGTGTTTCTTTCCTTTCTGAAGCAATTCAGATGAAAATGAAGTTCAAGCACAGCCTGCGCCACTTCCATTTCCCCCTATATTTTAAAAAGTCATCCTTACACATCTTTTATGAGTTAACTTTCCCCATTCTTCTTCTCCTTTCCCCTTTTCCCAGTGCATCGCATTCTCAAACATACATTTTTCTTTTGAGATTATCCTAATATACTAGATTCATACCCATGCCCTCTTTCTAAGTAGACTCTAACTGCCCTAAGGATGAAAAAGTTCTTAAGGATTCTGAGGAGTACATTTAGGAATAAAAACAATTAAACCATCATTAATTTCCTTATTTCTCACTCAAGCTTACCTTTTTATGCTTTTCTGGGTCTCGTGTTTAAGTGCTATTTTTTTTTCTATTCAGTAGTGGTCTTTTCATCATGAATGCTTGAAAATCTTCTATTTCAATAAATATCCATTCTCTACCCTCCCCTCCCCCACAATATTATACTCAGTTTTGTTGGGTAGGTCATTCTTGCTTGTAACCAACTTCCTTTGCTATCTTGATTATACTCCAAATCCTCTGTTCCTATAGCTTGTGTGATTCTAACTGTGGTTCCGCGGTATTTGAATTGTATCTTTCTGGCTGGTTGTAGTATTTTCTCTTTGACCCGGAAGCTCTGGATTTTGACTGTCATTACTAAGGGTTTTCATTCTGAGATCTCATTCAGGAGGAAACAGGTGGATTCCTTCCATTTCTACTTTGCCCTCTGGTCCTACTATATCTAGACAGTTTTCCTTTATAATGTTGAAATATGAAGTTTAGCCTCTTTTTTAGTTGTGGTTTTTAGGTAGTTCAGTAATTCCTAAGTTATCTTTCCTTGGCCTATTTTCCAGGTTAATTTTTTCTGATGAAATGTTTCACATTTTCTTTGAAATTTTCAGTTTTTGGACATCATTTTACTGTTTCTTGATGTCTCATGGAATCATTAGCTTCCATTTGACCAATTCTAATTTTTAGAAGTTATTTTCTTCTGTGAGATTTTTTGTGCCTCTTTTAACAGTTTGGGCCAATTCTGTTTTGTAAGAAATTATTTTCAGTACTTTTTTTGTGTATCTTTTATCAAGCTGTTAATTCGTGTGTCATAATAGCTCTTATTTATTCTCCCAAACTTTGCTTTACCACTCTTACTTGATTTAAATTTAGCTCTAATAAAAAAAAAATCTTGAGTTTGTCAAGGAATTCTTTTTGGGCTTGTGTCCAATCTGCATTTTTCTTTGAGGCTTTCACTGTAGACATTTGTAAGCCATTGGCTTTGAGTTCGTCTTGAGCTTCCCTGGGCCCACAGAAGCTTTTTACTGTCAGATTCTTTTTTTTGTTGTTGTTGTTCATTTGTATTTTTGTAGTTTGCTCATTTTTCTAGCCTATTTCTTTGAGTTTGGACTTTTTGTTAGTGTTCGGTTCTGTTCACTTCTGGGGACATCTTTCCAGTCTTGTCTTCTGATTTTTATGTCCTACTGCTTTCTGAGGTTAAGCCTAGGGACTTGTAAGTTTTTGTTGCTTCTAAGAGAGTCTGATCCAGGGAGAAGTCAGGTCACTGCTCTTTGGTCTACAAGCTAGTACCTTACCTTAACTAAGTAAGGTTATCTGCTCCTTTGCCACTGTAACTGCTCCGTTCTGTACTGGAATTAACAAACCTGAAGTGGGTAATAACTGCCAAATGGCACCTGATGCTGTACCTAGTGCCAGCACAGGTGTCCCCTGGAATCTTTTTGACCAAATGTTTAATCCCCTTACCTTCTTTGGGCACTAGGCCACTCAGCACTGCTGGGCTTATACCCTATGCACTGCACTCCTGGCCAGTTCCCACTTCAATGCCTACCTACCTCTCTGACTTCCTAAGTTCCTGTTAAAAATAAGTTACTGTGACTTTTCCTTCACTTTCACTCAGAATTCAGTTTGGTGCATTTTTAAAGCTGCTATGGAGGGGGTGTGTTGGGACAACTTGGAAAAAAATGCTGGCTTTACTCCACCATTCTTGCTCTGAAAGCCTAAAAGCCCATATTCACTAAGTGTTCTCTTTAGTATAATTTCTCTGATTCATAGTAAGGTGTGCCCACAATCTGAAGACATTCTCACGTTAACTGCTTTTATAAGATTTCTTCTCCAGTAAGAATTCTCTCATGTCAAATAAGTTCTGTGGTATGACTGAAGACATTTCCACATTCATGTTTCTTAGCAGTACAAACTCCCAGATGTCAAGTAAGTTCTGAATTCAGGTGGAGGGTTTTCCCAAATATATTACATTCAAAGATTTTCTTTCTGATAAGGATTCTTTGACATTGAATAAGCTCTGGAGTATAGTGGAAGGCATTCCCATACAATTTATATTCATACGGAATCCCTTCAGTAGGAATTCTTTGATGCACTGCAATCTGGGTCTTAATCTTGAAAACCTTCTCACATTCCTCCATCGCATCCTTAAGTTTTCTCTCATATGAATCCTCTGATGCAGAGTAATTTCTGAACTCATACAGAAGGTCTTTCAACACACATTATATTCAAAATGTTTTTCACCAGAATGAATTCTCTGGTGCTGAGTAAGCTGTGCCCTCAGTCTGAAAGCCTTCCCACATTCATTACATTCATAAGGCTTCTCTCCAGTATGAATACTCTGATGCCGAGGAAGCTCTGACTTCCGTCTGAAGGCCTTCCCACATACATCACATTTATAAGTTTTTTCTCCAGTATGAATACTCTGATGTCGAATAAAATCTGAATTCCAAAAGAAGCCTTTTCCACATTCATTACATACAAATGGCTTTTTTCCAGTATGAATTCTCTGATGCTGAGTAAGCTGATGTCTCAGTCTGAAAGCCTTTGTACAATAATTACATTCATAAGGCTTCTCTCCAGTATGTATTCCCTGATGTCGAATAAATTGTTTCCCTACTCTGAAGGCCTTCCCACATTCATCACATTTATAAGGCTTCTCTCCAGTGTGAATTCTCTGATGCTGAATAAGTTGTGGCCTCAGTCTGAAGGCCTCCCCACAATGATTACATTTATAAGGCTTCTCTCCAGTATGTATTCTCCTATGTTGAACAAATTGTTTTCCTACTCTGAAGGCCTTCCCACATTCATCACATTTATAAGGCTTCTCTCCAGTATGAATTCTCTGATGCTGAGTAAACTGCTCCCTCAGTCTAAAGGCCTCCCCACAATGATTACATTTATAAGGCTTCTCTCCAGTATGAATTCTCTGATGCTGAGTAAGCTGTGGCCTCAATCTGAAAGCCTCCCCACATTGATCACATTCATAAGGCTTCTTTCCAGTATGTATTCTCTGATGCTGAATAAATTGTTTTCCTATTCTGAAGGCCATTCCACATTCATCACATTTATAAGGCTTCTCTCCAGTATGAATTTTCTGATGCACAGTAAGTTTTATCCTCCGTCTAAAGGTCTTCCCACATTCATTGCATTCATAAGGTTTCTCTCCAGTATGAATTCTTTTATGTCGAGTAAGTTGCACAGTGAGGCGGAAGGCTTTCCCACATTCATTACATTTGTAAGGTTTCTCCCCAGTATGAATTCTTTGATGTCGATTAAGCTCTGAGTTGTAGTGGAAGGCCTTCCCACAATCCTTACATTCATAAGGCATCTCTCCAGTATGAATTTTCTTATGTGTATTAAGTGAAGGATTGCTACTGAAGGCCTTCCCACATTCATCACATTTATAAGGCTTCTCTCCACTATGAATTCTCTGATGCCGAGAAAGCTCTGTCTTCAGTCTGAAGGCCTTCCCACATTCATTACATTCATAAGGTTTCTCTCCAGTATGAATACTCTGATGTCGCATGAAATCTGAATTCCAAAAGAAGCCTTTCCCACATTCATTACATACAAATGGTTTTTCTCCAGGATGAATTTTCAGATGCCGCGTAAGTTGTTCCCTCAGTCTAAAGGCCTCCCCACAATGATTACATTCATAAGGCTTCTCTCCAGTATGTATTCTCTGATGTTGAATAAATTGTTTTCCTATTCTGAAGGCCTTCCCACACTCATCACATTTATAAGGCTTCTCTCCAGTATGAATTCTTTGATGCACAGTAAGCTGTATCTTCTGTCTGAATGCATTTCCACATTCATCACATTTATAAGGTTTCTCTTCAGTATGAATTCTTTTATGTCGAGTAAGTTGTACAGTAAGGCGGAAGGCTTTCCCACATTCATTACATTTATAAGGTTTCTCTCCAGTATGAATTTTCTGATGTTGAATATGATCTGAGTTGTAGTGGAAGGCCTTCCCACAATCCTTACATTCATAAGGCATCTCTCCATGAATTTTCTTATGTGCATTAAGTGATGGATTGCTGCTGAAGGCTTTCCCACATTCATCACATTTATAAGGCTTCTCTCCACTATGAATTCTCTGATGCCGAGTAAGGTGTGTCTTCAGCCTGAAGGCCTTTCCACATTCATTACATTCATAAGGTTTCTCTCCAGTGTGAATTCTCTGATGTCGCATGAAATCTGAATTCCAAAAGAAGCCTTTCCCACATTCATTACATACAAACGGTTTTTCTCCAGGATGAATTTTCTTATGTAGAATAAGTTGTTCTCTCAGTCTGAAAGTCTTCTCACATTCATTACATTCATAAGGCTTCTCTCCAGTATGTATTCTCTGATGATGAATAAATTGTGTCCCCACTCTGAAGGCCTTCCCACATTCATCACATTTATAAGGCTTCTCTCCAGTATGAATTCTCTTATGCTGAGTAAGCTGTGTCTTCAGTCTAAAAGCCTTCCCACATATGTTACATTCATAAGGTTTCTCTCCAGTATGAATCCTCTGATGTTGCATGAAATCTGAATTCCAAAAGAAACCTTTCCCACATTCGTTACATACAAATGGTTTTTCTCCATAATGAATTCTTTGATGCTGAGTAAGCTGTGGCCTAAGTCTGAAGGCCTCCCCAGAATGATCACATTCATAAGGCTTCTCTCCAGTATGAATTCTCCTATGTTGAATAAATTGTTTCTTCACTCTAAAGGCCTTTCCACATTCACCACATTTATAAGGCTTCTCTCCAGTATGAATTCTCTGGTGATGAGTAAGTTGTATCCTCTGTCTGAAGGCCTTTCCACATTCACTACATCCATGAGGTTTTTCTCCAGTATGAGTTCTTTGATGTTCAATAAACTGTGACACATAACGGAAGCCCTTCCCACATTCCTTACATTTATAAGGAATTGCTCCAGTATAAATTCTCTGATGCTGAGTAAATTGTGTGCCCAGTCTGAAAGCTTTACCACATTCATTAAATTCATAAGGTTTTTCTCCAGTAAATTCTTTGTTCCCTGAAAGGAAGAACAAAGGGCTAATTAACCCTGCTTTTTTCCCTTTCCTAAGGTTTGTATTCACTTAAAGGTTTTAGAAATATTCTCAAAAGAAAAAAAAAAGAAAGAAAGAAAGAAAAGGGGGAAACTAGGTGGCACAGTGGATAGAGCACCGTCCCTGGAGTCAGGAGGACCTCAGTTCAAATCTGGCCTCAGACACATAATACTTAGTAGCTATGTGACTGTGGGCAAGTCAGCTAACCCCCATTGCCCAACAACAAAAAAAGAAAGAAAGAAATACTCTCTAGCCTTCCCATCTGAGAGAACTAGTCACTCTGGTCTTTCAATAAGCATCACAGTTCATTTTATGTGAAAATTCATAGTTAGCATATATAAACAAATTCGGTCATCATAAAATTACTTGGAGGGATGAATGAGCCCTTACTCTACTGTAAACAGATGACATTTGAATGGAATAAAGAAATGAAAGACCATCCACAAAAAGTAAAGACCTTTAAGAGCTTGCAAATACATCCTTACTATCTGAGGTGAAAATAGGAAGGGAAAACACTGAATAGAAAGAACAAGAATCAACCAATTTAGAGTGAGGAGGAAAAACAGAAGAGTAATCAAGTAAGCTGAATAAAGAAGAAATATGAGGAAAAAGGGAATCATATCAGAAAATTGTTGCCATTAATTTCTGCTAAAAATCCAACATACCTACTTTGTAAGGAATTGGTTCAAGTTTGTAAGAGTAAGATCCAATTCCAAAAATGAAAACAATCAAGATATTTTTCATTAGAGAAATTATTAATAGTTACCTGAAACATTGGTCAAACTCAGATAATCAAAGAAGCCAAAACGAAACAATTTGGGTATGTTGACAATTAGTGATCAGATTAGCAAAGATATTTAAAATGCTAAGAAATTTTGGCAGTTACACTGAAATAGGCACTTATTCAACTGCTGTTGCTATTTCTCTGAAATGTAACATAGCAATTTAATTTAGTGCTACAAAACTGTTCCTATCCATTGACCCAATGATCTCACTACTAAGTTTACATCCTTAAAATTTTACTGAAAGCAAACACAGATCTCTCTCAAAAATATTCATAGCAGCTGTTTGTGAAATAGCACAATACTGAAAACAAGTTCAGAGATGGGACTGGGGCTAAACAAATTGTGTCATACAAATGTATCATTGTGCCTTTATAAAAATAATTTCAAAGCATAAAGAAAAACGGGATGATACGTAAAATGACAGAATGAAGAAAGGAGAATTAGTTTATGATTAAATGCATTAAAAAGTAACAGTAGTAAAGCAACATGATCATAAAAACACAGAAGAAAAAAGGCTATATTATTAATATCTTAAGTAATATGCTCACTTTAAAAGGGAGAATGAATTGCTGGAACAGTGGCAGAAGAATGCTTGCATAAGATAAGATTCAAAGAACATAAGAGAATACCTACTCTATATTGAGGAAACAACTTTCTTTGAGAGTAGAAGTATATGTGAGTAGTGATGCACAAAAAAAATCTTCTTTTTAAAAAAATCTCAGCTCTTTTCAATAGGACCAAGAAATTTTAATAAGACCACCCTGTTTAACATTTCATAAGAACTTGGGGGGTGCAGCCAAGATGTTGGAGAAAAGGAAGGGACTCCCCTAAGCTCTCCTCCAAAACCGTATGAACAACTTTAAATAATGACTAATGCCTCAAAACAAATTCTGGAGCAGAAGAACCTACAAAAGGATGGGGTGAAACAATTTTCCATCTCAAGACAACTCAAAAGGTTGGCAGAAAAGGTCTGTTGCACCAGGGTGAGAACAGAGCACTGTCTAGCACATGCAGGCCTCAGCAAACCAGCAGTGGGCCTTGGGAGCAACTGAATCAGCGGCAGTAGCGGCTGCCTCTGGAGCTCTCAGCCCACAGTCGGTAAGGAGAAGAATGTCTTGAAAAGCAGAACTGATCAAACAGAAAAAAAGGCACAAAAAAATCACTGAAGAAAAGAAATCCTTAAAAATTAGAAATGGCCAAATGGAAAAAGAGGTATAAAAGGTCACTGAAGAAAATAATTCCTTAAAAATTAAAATTAGGCAAGTGGAAGCTAGTGACTTCGAGACATTAAGAAACAACCAAACAAAACCAAAAGAATGAAAAAATATAAGAAAATGCAAAATATCTCAATGGATAAACATTTTGTAAGAACTCTGACCTAAAATGACCAACAGAGCTGTACTTTACAATGATTCATTTGTTTGGTTTTTATGAAGTCACCTGGACAGCTGCTTCTTGGGATGATATCTGTCTCTGGCATCCAAAATGCTTCTTTTCTTTCTAACTGGTAGATCACATCTGGTTTGGAAACTGCAAATCCTGTTCATTGAAAAGAAAAAAGTGCTAGGAATGGTAATTCAAGAATTCTATCTTAAAACAAATGATTTAAATACTCATCCTACTCTTAGTAGAGAGATGTGGGAATAAGAGTGCAGAATGTATCTTATATCATGAAGGGCATTCACTATGTTAGCTGATTTTGTCTTAAATTGTTTTCTTTTTTTTTTTTTTTAACCAGGTAGTTCTTAATAGGCTGGTTGAGGGGAGAAGTAGGATTTTTTTTTAGGTGGGGAGGGAAGGAGAACTGACATCAAATAAAACATCCATAAAATTTAATAAAAGAATCCAAAACTAGCTTAAGCTCTTTTGGGGGTAAAAAAACTGGGCATGCTAGGAAGACCTCAAGGATGGTACAAATGAGCACTGCAGGATAGTCTATATTGTGGGGGAATGGGTTACAATGTAGGACTTCGGAAAAATAGTTCATTTGACACACTCCCTGCTTAGACAATGAGAATATTTTGTGTGTGATGATACCTCCACTGGGATTAAACAGAGAATGTTGGATTTGAAGCAGTACAGAGAGTTTAGGACAATAATAAACCAAGAAGTCAGTTACTACTCCTACTAAACAAAGATGTCTCTTTGTTAAAAAAGGATTAGGAGTATCTTCCCTTTGTATGCCAAAGAATAACTGCTAAAATCTTGAAAGTCCCTACAGCATATATCAAGACTCCAAAGGGTTAGCTGTTCTTACCTAAAGAGACCAAGCTCCGATAGTTCTCCAACATCACATCCCTGTACAACTTTTTCTGAGACGGGTTCAAATGCAGCCATTCCTCCCGAGTGAATTCCACAGCCACATCTTTGAATGTCACTGATTTCTGAAACAACAAAAATATTTGGGTTACCCAGGTACAGCTCTGACTGGTATGAAGCTTAAATGAAAAGCACTTGAAAGCATGGATTTTTTCATTCATTTATGTGAAACGCAGTACAGTGCCTGGTACAGAGCAGGCACTTAAGAATTCCTTTCCTAAGTCTTCACATGCAGACTAAACATTCTGATTCTTTGACCAATCAGCATGAGCTCTTCATCACTAAAGTAGTTGCCTTCCTCTCTTCAAAAAAAAAAAACCATATATATATATTCACAATTGCACGTAAAAATAACTATAAGGGAATTTCAGTGCCAAGATAACAGTGAAGAAGGAACTCCTTTCTAAAGCCCTCCCAAACTCCTCTAAAAAAAACAACATTAAAAAAAAAAAGCCTTCAGAACCGATTTAAGAGCAGAAATACAGGTTACCAGCATAGCAGGAAACCTCAGTCTCACTAGAGTGGGAGGGGAGACTCAGTTAAGTTGCCCAGTTAAGTGCAACAGCAAGGCCCTGAGCCCTAGCAAAAGAAATCTGACAGAGTGAAGGAATAGAGCCCAATTCTTACAATAAAAGCACAAAGTCACAAAATAGATAGAAAAAATGACCAAAAAACAAACAACAAAAAAGAACTTGACTATAGTTATTATGATAACAAGGAAGATCAAGGTACAAATTTAGAAATGGCAACACGTGAAGCCTTGAAGCCTCAAAGAAAAATTTAAATGGGTCGAAGGCCCCAAAAGAAAGAGCTCAAAAAGGGTATTTTTTAAAATACAGTAGTGGAAGAAAAACTGGGAAAAGAAATGACTTATGCAAAAGAATCATGAAAAAAGAGTCAACAGCTTGGTAAAGGAAACACAAAAATGGAAAAAGATATAAAAAAACTGACATAAGAAAAAAACTCCTTAAAAAATAGAATTGGACAAATAGAAAAGAAGGTACAAAAGCTCACTGAAGAAAGTAATTCCTTCAAAAATAGAATTGGCAAGTGGAAGCTAATGACTCCATTAGACTTCAAGAAACAGTACAACAAAACCAAAAGAAGAAAATGTAAAATTTCTAACTGGAAAAATAATTGACATGGAGACAAAAGAAAGAGAATATTATGAAATGTAAAATGGATAATTCTGATTATATAGAATTATAAAGTTTTTGCTCAAACAAAACTAATGCAAATAAAATTAGTAGAAAAGCAGAAAACAGGAAAATATTTTATAGCAAGTATCTGATAAAGGCCTCATTTCTCAAATATATAGAGAATTGAGTCAAATTTATAAGAATACAAGGCATTCCCCAATTGATAAATGGTCAAAGGATATGAACAGGTAGTTTTCAAAGAAATCAAAGCTATCTGTTGTCACAGGAAAAAATGCTCTAAATGACTACCGATTAGAGAAATGCAAATTAAAACAACTCTGAGGTACTACTTCACACCTATCAGACTGGCCAATATGACAGAAAAGGAAAATCACAAAAGCTGGAGGGAATATGGGAAAACTGGGACACTAATGCACTGTTGGTGGAGTTGTGAACTGTGCCAACCATTCTGGAGAACAATTTGAAAGTGCCCAAAGGGCCATAAAATTGTGCATACCCTTTGATCCAGCAATACCACTACTAGGTCTATATCCCGAAGAGATCATAAAAAAGGCAAAAGGACCTATATGTACAAAAATATTTGTAGCAATTTTTTAAAGGTGACTAAGAATTGGAAATCAAAGGTATGCTCATCAATTGGGGAATGGCTAAACAAGCTGTGGTATATGATTGTAATGGAATATTATCATGCTGCACAAATGACAAGCAGGATGATTTCAGAAAAACCTGGAAATACTTCACATGAACTGATGCATAGTGAAGTGAACAGAACCAGAAGAATGTTGTATACAGTAACAGCAATATTATTTGATGAAGAACCGTGAATGACTTAGCTATTCTCACCAATACAATGATCCAAGACAATACCAAAGGACTAGTGATGAAGTATACTATCTGCCACTAGAGAAAGAACTGATATTGATTGAATACAAACTGAAACATGCTATTTTTCACTTTCTTTCATTTTTTCTTCAAGTCTTCAGTACAAAATGACTAATATGTTTTATATAATTTCACCTATATAACCTATATCTGATGGCTTACTGCCTCAGGGAGGGGGGAAGAGAGAGAGAAATAGAATTTAGAACTCAAAACTTAAGTAAAAATGTTATAAGAATTTTTTAAAAACACAGAAATCATGAGACAGTTTTAGAGAAGTGAAGAAAACTTTGGGCCTCCATTTTGTGAAGGGTCCAGACCAGTCATGCTTCCTCTCTCTGCCAGTGCTGCTTCTGACTTTCCTAACCCTGATATGATATCCCCATGAAGCACCTTCCTCTCCCAACACTGAGAATTTTCTCAGCTCCCTTTTCTAAGTTTTATTCCCCTGTAAGATTATGAACTCCTTAGGGCAGAAACTGTCTTTCATTTTGCAGTTAAAAGGAGTCTACATAAACACAGGGCACAGGTGTGGGTGGATAATGTTGGGATAATCTTAAAAAAAAAGATGAGAGAGAGAGGGATATACTAGGAGAAGGAGGAAGGAAGTGGGAAAATGGGGGAAATATAAAAAAGAGACAAAAAAGAAAGAAGTTTTAAATTGTAAAGGAAAAGGGAGAGGGGTGACAAAGCTTAAACTACACTCTCTTGTGGTTCATATAGGCAAGAATATATACAAACAAGAAAGAATTCTGGGAAGATGGAGGAGTAGGTCAGAAAACTTTTGGTTCTCTAAATTTCTTCCCAAAAAAAAAAGGATAGCCTCAGAGGGAATGTAGAGCAGCAAAAATAAAAAAAGGTCAGGGTAAAGCAGTTGTCCACCTAAGACAATGAGGAGCTAGCGCACGCCTGGTGAGTGCAGCAGCAGAGGGGCAGGGAGCCTGCTGGCTGTGGGTACTTGCAGGAGAGCGGAGTCCCTGATTTCAGTTCCAGGGCAGAGAGGACAGGTGTAGTTTGCAGCCACCACAGGGACCCTAGGGAGCAAGCCCACGTGCAAGACAGCACAGCTAGGGCACCTGGACATGGCTTAGGAGTGAGAGGACAGTCTAAGGTTGGGCCCTGAGACATACCTCAGAAAATAACCGTAAGAAGGACCTGAGGCTCGGGGCCATCGTTCCCTACACCTTGAGAGTAGAACTTGATTATACTAATAGCTGCTAAAAATAAAGTAAAACAAAATAAAAATGGTAAGCTAAGGAGAAAAAACCCTAACCATAGATAGCTACTATGGGGACAGGGAAGATCAGGGTTCGTATTCAGGGGAAAATAACGGAGCTAAAAAAGCTACTCCTTTTTCAGTGAGAAATGTCAAATGGTCCTAAGCACAAAAAGAGTTCTTAGAAGACCTTTAAAAATCAAATTAGATCAAGGAAAAATTAGAGAAAAAAAGAAACCAAGAGCAATCCAAGAAAATTATGAAAATAAAGTTAATCAACTGAAATAGAGAATCAAAAATTTAAGAAAGAAAATAGCTCCTTGAAAACTAGAATTGAGCAAGGGGAAGCTAATGACATTTTAAGACACCAAGAAATAATAAAACAAAATCAAAAGAATGAAAAAATAGAAAAGAATGTGAAATATCTCATCAGAAAAACAAGTGATCTGGAGAACAGATCAAGGAAAATAATATAAGAATATCTGGGCTACCTGGAAGATACGATAAAAAAAAAACACACCTTGATATAATAAGAAATTATCAAAGAAAATTGCCCTGAAGTTCTAGAACAGGAAGGCAAAGCAGAAATAGAAAAAATTCACCAATCACTAGCTGAAACTCAGGATAAAAACTTACAGGAATATCATAGCCAAGTTTCAAAGCTCCCAGGTTAAGGACAAAATATTGCAAGCAACAACAATTTAAATAGCGGGAAGCTACAATAAGACGTGCACAAGACCTAGCAGCTATTACAGTGAAGGACCATAGGCCTTAGAATACTATATTTCACATAGCAGAAGAGCTGGGGTTACGACCAAGGATAACTTACCAAGCAAAATTAGTAAAATCCTGAATTTTAAAAAAATGGACATTTAATGAACTGAAAGACTTTCAGGTATTTGTGGCAAAAACAGCAGAACTTAATGGAAAATTTGTCATATAAGATTCAGGAGAAATATAAGGTAAAGACTAAAGACCAATTATAAGGAACTCAAAAAGGACAAATTGAATAAACAGAATACGTTAAAATGTTATCAGTACTCTTATGACTTATTATTTGGGTAGTCTGAAGGAAAGGCTTGGGCTGAGGTGTGTCTGATGGGGGTTTCCAAAAAAAAATATGGAGAGATAAAAAGGAGTACTTATTTCATAAATGAGGCACAAAAGGAAGAAATGGGGGCAACTAGGTGGCACAGTAGATAGACTACTAACCCTGGAGTCAGGAGGAACTGAGTTCAAATCCGGCCTCAGACACATAACATTTCCTAGCTGTGTGACTCTGGGCAAGTCACTTAACCTCAACCGCCCCCCCCAAAAAAAAAGAAAGAAAGAAAAAAAAAGGAAGAACTGATATAGAAGAATTAGGGGGGAAGGTGGGTAGTATTTGAATTTTACTTTCATTGGGAATGGGTGAAAGAGGGAGCATACATATATATATAAAAATAAACTTTTATACATACATACACACATGCATATATGTATATGCATATGTAACATATATGCGTATGTATGTATAAAAGTTTTCTAAATTCAGGAAGAAATAAGAGGGCAAGGGGATGGGGGGGTAAGGATAAGGGAAGGACTCTTAGAGATGTAGGTAGTTTAAGGAATAGGAGGGCAAGGTAGCAGGTAGAAGTAAAGCAGAGGAGTGAGGAGGGATACTGTAAATAGAGTGAGAAAAATAGTGAGGAAAAATAGGAAGGAGGAAAACACAGAACAATTCACTGTAGCTTAGAATGTGAATGGGATGAATTTACCCATAAGACAGAAATGGTCAGTAGATTAAAAATTTGAATTCAACAATATGTTGCTTTTAGGAAACACTACAAAAATGAGAGATACACACAAAGATAAAATAAAGGGCAGGAGTAGAATTTATCATGTTAAAAAAAAAGGATGGGTAATAATCACAATCTCAGACAAAGTTAAAGCGAAAATAAACAATCAATAGAGAAAAATAGGGAAATTATATACTATGTGTCACCAATACCATTCAGTACTGTTTTAGATCATTTAAAATAACTAGACAGCATAAAATAGCTGAGGGTATATCTGCCTAAAAAGACACAGGGACTATATGAACATAACCATAAAACACTTTTTATACAAATACATACAGCTCTAAATAACTGGAGTAATGTTTATTGTTCCTGAGTAGGTAAAGTCAATATAACTTTAAATCATAATTTTACCCAACTAATCTATTTATTCAATGCCATCCCAATTAAATTACTAAAAAATTATCTTACTGAGTTAGAAAAAAATAATGGCAAAGATCATTTGGAAGAACAAAAGGTCAGCAATTTCAAAGAAACCAGGGGGGAAAGATTGTAAAGGAAAGAGATTCAGCAGTATCAGAACTTAAACTATATTATAAGGTGAGATCATTGCTGAAGTGTAAAAGGGATAATTTTGATTATTTTAAATTCAAATTTTCTTGTATCAATAAAACCAATACAGCCAAGAAGAGAAGGAATGCAAAAATTGGGAAAAAATTTTTAATAGACAATCTCTCAGATAAGATATGATTGTGTTGGAAAATTGTTGTGGTGTATGATGAGCTGGTTGATTTTGAAAAATAGGGAAAGACTTGGATCCATGAAGGAAGATGTTATCCACCTTCAGAGAAAGAGATCACAAGTGGAACTATTCGTAGTACGGTTTACATATATGTGTATGAGTGTATATGTGCATATAAGTACAAGTTTATGTATGTATATGTGTGCATGTATATATATATACATAACTATTTAATTGTAGCCTTCTTTAGGAAGAGGGTGGAGAGAAGGTAAAAAAAAAATAAAGTAAAAAGTGTACAGCAGAGAACAAAAGAAAACCTAGAAGGAAGCATGCAGAAAAGCTGAGGTAGCTTAGAAAACAATGTGTAGTATATATTATATAGGTTTTCTTGAAATGGAAATTTATTGTTTAATCTTTTGAATCCTCTCTTATGTTCTGCTGTGTAAATGGCAATGTTTTTCCTTTTTCTCATTTTCAATTTAAGTTTAAAATGAATACAAAATTTACCAAAATTTAAAAAAAGGAATATATATACAAACTCAATCGTATCTATCTTACTCAATGCGAAAGAAGGACAGGAAGGGGACTAACAAAAATAATAGAGGTGATAAGAGGTAGGGCTGATTAAGAGAAGAGGTAATCAGAAGCAAAAAAGACCTCTGAAAAGGGACAGAAGGTGATAAGAGGTACAGTTGATTAAGGAAGGAAGTGGTCAGAAGCAAAAATTAAACAAAATTTTTGAACAGTGAACAGAAAAGAGTGAGAGAAGTATAAATCGAAGAAAACAGGATAGAGGAAAATATACAATTAGTAATCATTACAGTGAATGTGAATGGAAACAATTCACTTATAAAACAGAAGAAGAATGCATAATGGTTTAGAAACTAGAATCCAACAATATACTGCTTACTAGAAAAACATCTGGAAAAAAGATAAGGAGTTAAAATTAAGGGCTGGGGCAGAATCTATCATGCTTCAGCTGAAGTAAATAAGGCAGAGGTAGCAACCACGATCTCAGACAAAGGAAACGCAAAAATAAATCTAATTAAAAGAGATAATCAAGGAAACTACAAATGGCTAAAAGGGACTATAGACCACAAAGTACTACCTATATTAAACATATATGCTCCCAAAGGCATAGCATTCAAATGTTGAAAGGAAAAATTAAATGAGTTACAGGAGGAAATAGTAAAACCATACTAGCAGGGTACCTCAACTTTTCCCTCTCTGAACTAGATAAATTTAACCATAAAATAAATAAGAAAAAAGTTAAGCACATGACTAGAATTTTAGAAAAGTTAGCAATGACAGATAACGTATCAAAAAAATCATGCACTAACCCAGGCTGTATTTATACCAGAAACGCAGACAGATTCAATATTAGGAAAACTGACCATGTCAGTAACAAAAACAACAAAAATCACACAAATAGATGCAGAAAAAGCTTTTGAGAAAATACAACACCCATTCCTACTTTAAAAAAAACAACACAAGAAAGCACAGGAATAAATGAAGCTCTTCTTAATACGAAAAATAGTGTCTATCAAAAAGAAGAGTGAGCATTATCTGTAATGGAGATAAACTAGATCAGGTGTGAAGCAAGGATGACCAGCACCAAGACTTTTATTCGGTATTTTACTAGAAATGCTAGCTATAGTAATAAAACAAGAAAAAGAAACTGAAGGAATAAGGCAACAAGGAAACAAAGCTATCACACTGCAGATGATATGATGGTACATTTAAGGGAACTTTAAAGTATCAACTAAAGAGCAGGATGAAAGAGTGAAGAACTTTAGCAAAGCTGCAGGATATAAAATAGACCCATATATATCATCAATATTTCCCTATGGTACCAACAAAACCCAACATCAAGAGACAGAATGAGAAATTCCATTTACAACTCCAGAGAGCATACTTGGCAGTCTCTCTGTCTAGATACACCCAGAAACTAGATGAACATAATTACAAAGCACTTTTCACACAAAAAAGAACACATCTAAACAACAGGAAAAATATTAATTGCTCATGGGTTAGTGGGCAATTCTACCAAAATTAATTTACTTATTCAGTGCCACAGCAATCATACTACAAATGAATTTTTTTTATATACCTAAGAAAAATAACAAAATTTATCAGGAAGAAGAAAAGGTCAACAATATCAAGGGAATCAATTTGTTAAAAATGCAGAAAGGTGGCCTAACAGTCCCAGATTTTAACAAATCCAGATTTCAAAAGGCAGTTATCATCAAAACAATGTGGTGCAGACAAAGAAAGACAGTGGTTAATCAGCGGAATAAACAGATCAGGCGCATAAAAACAGAGGTAAATGACCATAATAATCCGGTTTTTCAAAAACCCAAGCATCCACTCACTGGGGGCAAGAACTCACTATCTGATCAAAACTGCTGGGAAAACTGCAAAGCAGTCTGGCAGTCAGGTAGCAACTAGGCCCAGATCAACATCTCAAAACAAATATCAAGACAGGGCCAAAATGGGTCCACGATTTAAACATGAAGGATGATATCATGACAAGGTAGCAAGAATTTGCCTGTCATATCTTTGGATAAGGGAAGAATTTATGATCAAACAAGAGACACAGATGACCACAGGAGGTAATATGCATAATTTCGATTACATGAAATTTAAGTCTTTACATAAACAAAACCAATGCAGAAAAAAAAAGGCAAGTAGGAAAATGTTAAAATTTTTTACAGCAAAATTCTCTGATAAAGGTCTCAATTCTCAAATATATAAGGAATTGAACCAAACTTACAAAAGCCATTCCCCAACCAAAAAACAGTCAAAGAAAGAAGAAATCAAAACTATGAATAGTCCAATGAGAAAGTGTTCTAAATCAATAATGCAGAAATGCAAACTACAACTGAGAGTACCACTTCACACCTCTCAGATTAGCCAAAACAGAGGTGGGGGTCAGAAAAACCTGGAAAAACTTGCATGAACTGAGGCAAACAAAGCAGAATCAAAATAACACTCTATAAAGGAACAGCAATACTGTACCAATAATTAGCTGTAAAAGACTTGTCTGAACCATAGAAGATACATGAAAACTACAAAGGATTCATGACAAACAATTACGAGAACTGATGAACTCTGCTGTAGACTAAAGCATATAAAGCACTTGCTTTTATTTTTACCTTCTTTTTTCTTTGTAACATGGCTAATATGCAAATATTCTGCCTGACTTCCCATACATAACATGTATCCTATTGCTTCCATTCTCAATGGGTGGTGGAGGGGCAGGAGGAAGGGAAAGAATGAAGAACGCAAAATGTTAAAACGCTTACAAAAAATCAAAGTAAATGTAACAATTTCTTTGCAAGGAGAGGACAAATAGATGATTTCTGTGTTAACTTTTAGCTCTGAATGTATGACGCTCTGATCCCCACAATTTCTAGGGTTACATGAGAAAGAAAAGTATCCCATGGTCTTCAAACTGACAAGGTGTTTCAGGAAAGAAGCAATTCCCACTCACCCTTCCAGGCCTGGCTGTCAGGAGTACAGGAACCATCCCTTTTGCACCCTGTGAAACCGCCTCCTGGGAAGAGCAGAGGCCCCAGAGGCAAAGGCTCTAGACAGGAAATGACAATTAGGAGAAACACAGGTCAGCTGGATGCGTCCCCGCCTCAGAGGCTAGAAAGTCCCACTTCTCCCCTGAGGTGCAGATCAGGGAGGAGAGTCTTTGGGACAATATCTCTTCAGAGATAAAGCAGAACAACAGATAGAGAGCACTGATCCAGCAGCACAGAAGGCTTCCTGGAAGAAGTGGTACCCTGGAGGCTTTCTGAGGAAGAGGAGATAAGACAGACAACCAGGGAGTCCCGCACGGACACAGAGGTGTCACCTTTTGGGGGCATGGGGAGGGGCATGGACCCCCGGCAGCATCAGGGAAGCCTCCCGGAGAAGGGGGTACCCAGGAGGATGCCGGGAGGAGATGAGGCGGAAGTGGAATGGGGACCCAGGACCAGACACACAGCAGGAGGGGATCCCTTAAGACTCTTAGCATGGGAGAAGGACTGAGGCCTAAAGGGTCAAGAGTGGAGGGCGTGTCTAAGGCGGGATTGGAATCCGGCTCCGCCTCCAACGCCCCCCAACCCCAGCCCCACCAGACTCCCTGGGCCTGGCCCCGCTTTCGGCCCCCCGCTCACCACGTCTTACTTCAGCTCAGGACAGAGAAGGAGAAAACTGCCACAACCAAGCAAGGAAAAGGCATAAAGAAGGTGGGGTGGAAGTGACATGCGATGCAAGCGTGGTTTTCTGGGAATCGTAGTCTGGAGGCTGATGTGCCTTCGGCGCATGCCTGGGGCTCGGCCCCTCCTCCGGCCTGGAAAGCGGTCCTGCCTCCCGCCTGCCCCGCCACTCCCTGCCACGAGCCCCGCCTACTCCACTCCTCTCACCTAGTGCGTGGTCTTCACAGCGCCAGAGCTCACGGGGAGTCACCAGACGTGGGGTCTCAGACCTCTAGGGGCCCTGGGTCTCCTCCGAGGGTCGTCCAGCCCGCAGTCTCTCCTACTCCGGCAGCCAGTCACCACAGGCCGCGACTCTAACGAAATGCTCTGTGCACTAGCATCTTCACGCAGGAGGTGACGGAAGTACGCAGGGAAGCCACGACTCTGAGGAGGGAAACCACGGGCTGGGGCAGGATGCCCGGAAGGCTCGCTCAGCCCCCTGGGGCTTCCAAGAGGAGCAGGACAGGTCAAGGGGGCTCGGGCCACCAACTGGGACCGCGGGACGACGGAAGGCTTTGCTTTGGCCTGGGCTGTGTTTTAGGAAAGCGATGTTGGGGAAAAGCCGAGGATCAAAGAAGGGCCGGGCCCTGTGTGGGGTCCGTGGGACGAGGATCACGGACACGGGGAGAAGCAGAGCCAGGCCGTGCTCGCTTCGTGTCTGTTTCCTCTGTCAAGGAGACTGACCCGAGGGAAAGCAGGAGACGTGGAGAGCGTTTGGCTGGGCCTTGAGGAATCCCAGTCGTCTGGTAGATGGGCTCAATAAAACTCAGAGCTAACGTTTACTTGGTGCTTACTATGTTCCAGGCGTGCTGGAACACGCTATGTGTAAAGTACTTATGGCTAAGTACTTTACAAGGACTGTCTCATCTGGTCCTCATAACAACCCGGGGAACAGGTGCTGTTATGGGCCCCATTTTATAGATGTAGAAACTAGGGTGACGTGACTTGTCCAGGGCCACAGCTAGCAAGTGCCTGAACTTGGATTTGAGCTCAGGTCTTCCTGATTCCACCCCCTGAATTCTAACCACCTAGCTGTGCCTACTTTCTCCCTTAGTATTAAAAAACTGGCATATAGGATTGCTGAGCTATTGTCACTCATATTTGCAAAATCGTGAAGAACACGAGAAAAATGTTCAAATTTTCAAAAGAAACAGAGGAGAACAGGATCAGGAAATTTTAGGCACAGTGGTTCAGTCCTGCTCGATTCTTCCTGATCCCATTTAGGGTTTTCTTGGCAAAGATAATGGAGTTGTTTGCCATTTCCTTCTCTAGCTCATTTTATAGGTGAGGAAACTGAGACAAACAAGGTTAAATGACTTAACCCAGGGACACACAATAAGTAAGTGTTTAAGCTTAAATTTGAACCCAGGTCCTCCTGACTCCTGGCAGTGGCACTCTATCAGCTGCACCACCTAGCTGCTCTCATAGCTTCATTGAGTTTGCTTTTATCAATCTGACAAAGTCCTAGGTTGTATTTTCAAATGTTACTAAAATATTTTTTACATTGCCTTCCCCCCCAATAATATTCTTCCCTCTTCCCTATACAAAGAATCATTCCTTATAACAAAGAATAAAAAGAGAGAAAAAGCAGTTCAGCAAATCTAATTTAACACATTTATTGACTCAGACACGGTAAGTCGCCTTCTACAAATATAATCCACCACATCTGCAAAGAAGGGAAGAGGAAGAATTCAACAAGAAGGGAAGGAATATCTATCTTCCTTTGTTCTTCTCAGACACTATTATTTTGAAAAACAGAAGCAAGATTTGTTACATGTGATAATACCTGTTCCTTGAGTAGAAAATAGCCCCTGGCAAATTAAAAGGTAGTCAGGTTTATAAAATGTATTATACTAAATGTATTTTATATCACAACCTCATATTTTCACCACGGATTTTTATTTTCCATGTGATGGAGGGCAGGGGAAATATTTGATAATGTCTTCTCAGTCTTTATGAACACTTCTGACATTCTTTTCTGATGCATGAGTATTACTCAAATGAAATTATAGAACACAAGATGTTATTTGACTCTTAATTGATACATATGTATTTATTTCTTTATTGTTTTCTAGGTTATAAAAAAGTGTTTTGAAAAATCATAGGGTATTTTTAATGTTAGATTTATTTTTAAAAAAAAAAGCAAAAATCTATAATTATTTTGCTATGTTAAGTGACTCCTAGAAATAAATCAACCTCCTTCACTTCCCTTCAATTGTCTTAAACAATGATTTACCTGTTTTTTCCCCTATAAAATTTTCCTAATGTAATTGAGGTATGTTTGCTGCAAAAAATTTGCATTGTTTCCTCTATTGTAAAGGTATAAGCAGTAAGGTTTCATTTAGTGCAAAAAACATATTTCAAAAAAATTTTTTTTGGTAAGAATGTAAAACTGCATATGGGCCTTCGAATGATTTTAAATGTGATGAAGGAAAAATGCTTAAGCTATAATTTTGAAATTATAATGTATACTCATGTTAAATTGATCAGAATTTTTCCTAACATTTGAAAATATATTTTTAATATTAAATCACAGGATAAGAGAATGTACATAATGTTACAAAATCTTTCATAACATTGTGATAAAATTTTTTACTATAAAATCAAACTATAAAAAAACCCCCTGTAATCTGACTGTACTCTAGATTTGGAGAAAGCAGATTTGAAGTGGTTCAGAAGAAAGGTGCAGGGGCAGCTAGGTGGCGCAGTGGATACAGCACTGGCCCTGAATTCAGGAGGACCTGAGTTCAAATCCAGCCTCAGATACATAACACTTACTAGCTGTGTGACCCTGGGCAAATCACTTAACCCCATTGCCTAGCCAAAAAAAAAAATTTAAAAAAAGAAGAAGAAAGGTGCAGAGGTATGTTCCCATGAAGTAAAATGCTTTAGGGAGAAGTCAGCCAAAAAGGAATGGGAGAAACTCAGCAATTAAATGCTGAAGAGGGAAAGAGAAAATGTTCAAATCAAGTGGAAAAATGAATTTTGTCTGGAGAGACCAAAGTGTATCCATGACAAACTCACCAACCAAGTTTGACTGAAAAAAAAAAAAAAGAAATGTATAGACAATAGAAGTGTCAACCATTTGCCAAAGGTTCGGTCCAAAGAAACAAACAGAATCAGTTTTCCCCTTAAACAAAGGTCTGTCCAAAGAACAAACAGAATGGGGTTCACCTTACCAAAGGTCTGGCCAAGGGACAAACAGAATCAGGCTGTACATGTGCTATAACATGCTTATTTATTCTCATTAAGCCAGAGAATCATGTATTATGTGGGAGTCAGAAAATAATTCTGAACTCAGAGGTAAACACACTGAAGGAGACCCTTTGTACACCTAAAGCAATCTCAACTTGGGTTGCCTTTGTCAACCAAAATTATAATCTCTATATGTGTTAACATATTATGAGAGAGCAATTTCTTAATAGGACAGATAGCAAATACAATAAGTGTCAAAGTGTCCATTGAAATTACAGATCCAGGATGTCTGTTTGTTTTATAATTAACATGATTATAGGTGTGTATACATACATACATATATGTGTGTGTGTATATATATATATGTATATATATATATACACCCATATGTGTGTATATACATACATACATACATATATCATAACATAGCATAACGTGTCCATAAAGTACCAAGGTAAAAAGAATCACATTCAAGATAGCATCCAGGTCAAGGCACCTTGTCCTTGGTAGTCATAAACAGAAGAATGCTCCTGATCACCTTAATCAGATCTTCTAGTTGCTGACACAGGAAAAGGCATTTTGGGTTCACTCAGCAAAGCAAAGTATGTCTGTTACGCCAGATCACACAAAACATTACAGTAGCTTAAGGTCAGAGTGGACCAAAATATCTCTCCTGATTGGCCAATCCAGGTTTTTGGCCTTTCTCAGGTCTTGGAGGTTCAAAACGGTTTGGGGAGGGGTGCACAGAAGCAAGACCACATAAGAAAGAATCAATAGCTCCCTTATCTCGCAAGCCAGGAGCCATCCCCTGCCATCCCCCACCATCCGGGTACCAGCACTAGCTGCCCAAACTCAACTGGCCCTGTGGTCATGGTGGCGGGGACGGCAGTGTTGAGGAGAACAGGCCCGGCACCAGGACTCAAGATTTCTATAATTGGCCTCATGAATCCTTTGATGAAGTGGACCATGCTGTTCAACAGTATATTCAGCAGAACACAAGGGCAGATTATTCCAGTATTGACAAAATTCTTGAACCACCTGAAGGCCAAGACGACAGTATATGGGAATACGAACATTTAAGGCAATTCTGCCTGGAGCAGTGGTGAGGAACCTTGGCCAAACTGAACCAATCTGTTCTGTGAAGTCTGGATTCAGTCAAAGGGCTGCACTTGAGGACCTGGAGGACCACATGTGGCCTGAAGGCTGCAGGTTCCCCAGCCCTGGCCTGGAGCTAAATGGACTTGCTGTCAAACTTCAGAACGAGTGCCATCCAGATTCATGTGCGCAGATGACGGCCGCTCAACAATGGATTTTTATTTATGCAGCTCATAAAATTCCACAAGAGTGTCCTGCTATAGACTACACTAGGCACATGCTATGGTGCTGCAAGTCTTCTGAATAGCAATAAATACTTCCTTAGCAGAGTTAGCAGAAAGGAGTCATCAGTAGCCAAACTAGGATCAGTATGCCATAGGATTTACAGAATATTTTCGCATGCTTATTTTCATCATTGAAAAATATTTGATGAACATGAGAATGAAACATTTTTGTGTCACTGATTTACTAAGTTCATAATGAAATATAATTTGATGTCTAAGGATAAACTGATTTTGCCAATTTTGGAAGAGGAAGTGCAGAATTCATTGTCTGGGGAAAGTGAATCCTGATGGGAATCATACATAAAAATGTACTGAACACATAATTAACAATTATGAACTGTATATCTAATTTTAAACACTTGAATCTTGCATCCATATTATGGCTTCTTTGTTTGGTATAGTTTTGCATGCTGTATGTTGTCTTTTAAAATGGGAAAGACTTTTTAAGTTATTCATAAGCTGTATATTCACCACTGTGGTACTCATGGTTTTTAAATAAGATTAGTATTATCGTTTATAATGCCTTTTAATAAAAAAGAATTTACAGTTCTGTAAAATTGCTGCTAAACAACTGTTGGATCACAGTCCTCATCAAACAAATCTATCAGAAAAAGATGAGTGAGCTTTAGGTTTAACATAAGCCATTTACTAGTGAAATAGCAACATTTTCCCTGAGTTTTGCATCCTAAATTCAGAATACTCTAGGAAATGCCACATAATACAGTTCAGACTACAACGTAGCTGTTTTTTAAAAGCTGTTTCTATGGTCTCCTTAGGAATTTTGACATACATCTATGAAGATTATATGTAAAAGCAAGTGCAGTGTTATTAATGCTAAAATATTCATCTTACACTGCTACACAAAGTATATTCTGGGCCAGCATACTTGAAAGCTATATGTTTTTCCGGAGTTACCTTTCCATAATAGTGGACTATAAGAAGTTTTGCATACATCATGGTAATGATGCTAAGGCAATTAAGTACTTCTCCCAGTGAAACCCCTTTCTTTCCTACCTCTTTCCCTCAATAGCCTCACCAAAACCAAAAAACAAAAAAACAAACTTCACCAGGCTACCATGAATTATTAGTATAAAAGCTTATACTTATATGTATCTGTATTAATTGTCTACAGATTATGCCTCATATTGATATTCATATTATACACACAGGAAAAAATGTACTGGCATAGTTTTTCATTTCTTTTTGTTTGGTGGAGTTATTCTAATTAAATATTTAGAAAACTTTAGTCTTTAAAACAGTTTAGGTATTTCTATTAGTAATATTAATCTTTTGGTTCATCTAGACAATATTTAGATAGGGATAGAAAAATAATATTGTATCCTCCTCCCCCTTCAAAAAAAAAGCATATATTAAAAATATGTGTGCATGTGAGATTATTTGCAATAATTCACAGGATCCATGAGTGCTACTTAATGGTGTTACACTGGTTGGACCTCTTTAAAGTGAAATGCTTAAAGGACAGAACTTCAGATTTGATAATATGAGTGGTGTTACTTTATGCAATTTTTTTTCCTTTTTGGGCAATTGGGGTTAAGTGACTTACCTAGGGTCACACAGCTAAAAAGTGTCAAGTGTTTGGTTTGAGGCTGTATTTGAACTCAGGTCCTCCTGATTTCAGGGCCAGTGCTCTTTCCACTGCACCACCTAGCTGCCCCTTATGTAACCTTTTAAAATGCACTTGTCTCCTTTTTACCATATTACCACTTTGTCTTTGAATCATGTTGTAAAAGTCAAGAAGTTAAAATTAAATTTCTCACTTTCCATGCTGGCAAAAGAAAAAAAAAAGAAAAAAGAAAGAATCAATACATGAGAACTTTTTATGGTCCTGGAAAAAAAACTGTATCAGGAATGTTAAATTGTATAGAGGTATTAAAATATAGGGTTTAAGAGAGTATACAGTGAAGAAAATATCTAAAGATAGGTTTTTGGTTAGTTTTAAGTGCCCAAAAGAGAAAAATATTTTTGAATGTAGAAATTAGGACTGTTTGGAAATAAAAGTTAAATGCATTCATTTTTGTATCACCATTTCTTCCCAACTTGAGGCTAAACTTTATGATATTTTTATAAAATGTACAATGAGGACATGTGGTACAGTATGAGGTATAGAGTGTGTATGTAGAGATTTTTCCTTTTAAAATCTTCCTTTTGTTCAGATGTACTTGACTGACAGTACGTTCTAGTAGTTTGTCATTTTTCTTTGAAAATATTTTGCTCCACCTGTAGTTCTGTCTTTAAGGATATCTTATTATATATGTGATAAAAAAAAGAATATTAGCTTTGAAATTTTCCATTTCTTTTAATCTCACTGTAAACTGACCAAAGTAGTAAAATTGCTAAATTTTGGGAGAAAGAAGTGCACTTCTAGTTAATAAATGTAGTGTACCTTAGCAAGGGGCACCCTAATGAATTTCTATGACTTGAGTCATCATTTGGTGACAGTTTTGAAGTAAGGCAATGACTAAGAGAGATGACTTAATAGCATATTTGCTTAATACTTTCATTAGTATAGTTCACTGTACAGGGAAATACCTAAGGCCCTTTTTTCTATTTATTCCATCTTTCATGTACTGTATGTTTGGAGTTGATCCTAAAAAAAACCAAGTCCACACAAAATCCTGCAGCAGTTTGTCTTGCTTTTTTGTATTTATATTAACATCACATTCATATGTGTTGTACTGTGAAGTTGATTAATTATACTATATAACCTGAGTATAAAAGACCTTAAAGAAATAGTTCCTATTTTTTTCTTGATGTTATTTACTGCATTTGTGTAAAAGTACTTATGAGGTAGTTACTACAAGAGTTTAATGAGCCTAGCATACCATCAATTTGTTAAGTAAGTGTTTTAAGAGAAAATTTGTGATCTTAAGGCCCTATGTGATAAGGGAATTGGGTTCCATTTTGTCTTTGAATTATGTTGTAAAAGCCAAAAAGTTAAAATTAAATTTCTCACTTTCTATATTGGCAAAAAAAAAAATAAAGAAAAAAGAAACAGTCAGATATGAGAATTTTATGGTTCTGGAAAAAAACTGCATCAGGAATGTTAGAACTCAGAATAAACTGAGGCTGGTAATGAAGACTGAGGAAGACAAAAAAGATGGTTTTTTAAAGTCATGTTGGGAGA